CAATGAGTGGGTTAAGTATTGTAGGTCAAGAATGGAATGAGGGCTCGTTTAGTCGACGCATCAAGAATATTATTCGGAATAGTATTTCTTTTTTATTTCCTTATTTTGTTTCGTTACATATTTTATTTAATTTTTAATTACTGAATTATTCGGATATAGGAAATGGTTTGAATTAATTTTTAATAGGTCAACACTTTTAATCAGTTCCTTTGTGTGGAATAATAATTGTTCATTTAATATTTTGCTAATTATTTGAAACCACCAAGGCTTATTTTTATATATTTATGATAAATACTTAATTTTCAATCGTAACCCCTACCGATCAATGAATGCTTGCATTCATTCTTACAGATTTTATTTTTTCATAAACTCCGACTCGGACATCAACGCTGTCTGAATGGGACAGTCATCAGAAATCTTGTATTTAACAATAACGCGCGTAATTTATGTAATACTTTTGATTTGATTTTCTAAATAAAATTTGTTAATTTTCATTTTGTTTTTTATTATGAGATGAAATTCAAAGTATTTATGAATAATAAAGACATACCTTCGAAACAAAACCGCAAAAAATCAATGTTGATGAATTCACTTTTAATATACATCTGTGTCCATAAACGAATCCTCGCTCCGCTTTTCTAACCGATATATATTTGAGTATTTATTCATTCAATATTTTTTTTTTATATTTACTTTCATCAAATCATTTTAGTGTATCGCCGCACTATAAATATTTTAATTTTAAAGGAAAATATTAATAATGATGACTCGAAGTTTTTTTTTTTTCTTACCCTCCAAAATGTTTATTGAAACAATTTACATATATAGTATACATAATAATACAATATATACATGTAACAAATTTCTTCCACTGCCCGAGGGCATAAGACTCGAAGTAACTTGATGAATGGAAATTGTTTTCTTCGCCCGATTAAGACTTACGAGAACAGATGTTCTCAGAGTCAATTGCCGAAGCACCTGCCAAAGTAAAGTGAGTCAGATATATTTATATTTAATTAATAGAGTTCTATTTTTATAAAGCGGGTGTTAATCGCACTCAATTTTTCATTAAAATTAGGATGTGCGGATATTTAATTTAATGAACTCGCATTTTAAATAAAATTAGATAAACTAATACAGATTTTTTGCAAAATTTAACAGCATTGCAAGACTGTTGTAAAACCATCAACTAATAATCTATTTTTTTAATCGTAATAGATTAAATTATGGATAATAATAATCTATTGTACCTTCAACGATTTTTTTTTTTTTCTACAAAATATGTATTTGCGCCTGTCAACAATAAGTTTCTCACATGCCTTTTCATGTTGCAAAAAAAAGTAATGGTATTTTTTTGTATTGTATCTAAAATATATTTATTAAAAACATATATAATTCCCACCCAGAGATTCACAGACAGGTGAGCGCGACACATGTGTCTAATACATAGTTCCTTTAGTACTCCAGAATATGGGAGTTTGGCACAGGGCTAATAACCGTATCCCTTAAAAAACAACAGGATAGAGAAGTATGCATAAGGTTGCCAACCATCCCGATGAAGAGGATGATTGTGATCGCGTCCGGTTATTATAAACCATGTGCTCTATGGATTTCATCTACATAAGAACAGAACCAAAAGATTACATCTTATCTCCAAGAACAGCCCCAATTCTGGGAGAAGACTAATGTCGGAAGTCAAAAGAGCCAAGAGCCGTTAAAAAAAACAAAAAAAAAACGTATATATATATATATATATATATATATATATATATATATATATATATATATATATATATATATATATATATATATTGTTTCTAAGGAATGTAATCTGTATCCATTAATTTTTAACCATGGGTAATTTTACTGTTGTATTATGGTATTTGAATTATAGATACCTTTTTGAGTTGTCTCAAATACCTTAGATTGTAAAGTAGGAAAATTATTTTGTCTCCAAAATTTGGAGAAAAACGTCGTAACGAATGTTGCCGGTTTTTCTCACAATACAGTTCATTAACATGACGGAAAATGTTTTTAAAAATCTGTTTGTGGTGCCATCTGTTAATCCATGTGTAATCTTGAGCCATAAAAGAGGTGACTGGATACTATACGTTTTTCTTCCAAAACATGCTGAGTCACATAAATTATCCTTAACGAATAATACCATTTTTTAAATTAACATTCTTCAATTAACATAATGAATGATAATAGTAAAATAAGTAGTTTCGATGCATTTATTTAGGGTTAATGTTTCATATCTCTCCAACATTTGATTAAATTAGTACCAGTGATTTTGAATAAAAACGTAACGAATGTACGTTCTTATTCGCACAATTAATTATTCGTAGGAATTTAATAATATTTATTTTAATTGTTCTTACTACAAATTGATCGTGTCAAAAAGAACAGGAGGTTGATTTCACTTGTTTTAGTTTTAGGCACTGAAGAAAGAAACGAAAATCATAATTTTTTAAAAAAAATTTTCTAATGTTAATTTGAAATATTAATTGTTTACTCTAATCTTTATTATACTCGAAGCCATTATATCTTTCCCATATACAAATAAAGTTTGTTTATTTAAACTTTCTGAAGAGAAACATCCTCGTTTAATAAGCTTAAGTCCATATTAATTAAGTCATGAGTTAAACAAAAATTTAAAAGAAAAAAAGCAACTAATACTGAGAGAAATGTTTATCGAAGCTCAAGTTTTATTATGTTATCTTGAGCATCTAGTAATATTCTAATCTAGTATATAATAATATTTAATATAAATATTTTTTCAAAAAAATTGATATTAATTTTAACCGGAATTGCTAGATTCAGAAATGCTGAATGATAAAATAATAATTACCCAGGTACTATTTATATTTATCATTACTAGAGAGAGCAATAATATAAGTTCGGTGTTGGATTTTTTTGTTGTTGTTATTTTTGTTAAATATTATCAATTGTGTGTGCAAAACTCGTGTTTGGATTTTACGTAATGATAACACACTTTCCTTATATTATGTGAGTGTCGTGTTGTCAGAGCTTTGAGGGCATAAGTATACATTGACATAGACTATACTACGATGCGCACACTTTCATCCTGGACGGAAAATACTCACTTTTCTAGATAGAATGGCACAGAGAGGCAGAGCAGTGGGCCATATCCCGCAGCAGACTGTCTGAAATAGAATGAGCAGGGCAGTTGGCCCAGTGCACGGGGTCCAGTTTTAGAGGTGTAACTGAAACATGTGGCATCACAGCATGACGTCTAGGTAGTGCGTTTTAGTGTCAGCAGGGGAACCATCGCCTATGCGCTTATCGATGGAGGCGAGATTGTTTCAGTATATGGAACCACTGAAACTAGTTATCATTGAAAGTACAAAGAATAATCTAAACTATACCGTAGTATAGATCCTTTTTCAGGCTCTCAGCAGCAATAAATTTTAATGAATGGGGCATCAAACAAAAAGGAATTTCATTGAGAAGTGACCATTTCCAATTTTGATCCTTTAATTCTTATAATAGCTTTTTTAAAATTGAAGGTTTAAAAACTCAGATAGTTTCAACATTCGGTGGGTCGACAAAACAAGCCTCTTTGGCACTAAGCAAATACTTTCTGGGTGGGTATAGAAATGGGTTCATCTTTTTTTGTTGATATGTGGGCCGCATGCCATTCTTCTGTATTATTATATTGTATTTTATCTGTCTGAGGAATTTCGATATTGTCAAGATAAATAGCAGGGCATGCTTCATGTCGAAGAGTGAAAGTGATGTGTTGTGATTTGTCTTGGTTCAGTTGAATTTTCCAAAGTTTGCACCAATCGTTTAGTTTTGTTTGATGATGTCGTAAGGCCTGTGAGTTGTGTGTAGGATTTCTACTTCTTGTTAGAATTGCTATGCCGGTTACGTAACTCACTATGATAGTTTCTGCCCCCTGAAGAACTCCTACTAATGCTGGTCATACTGATGAAAGTTCTGAGCTTTAGCAGACGGAGAAAAATCTTTCAGAAAGAAAGGATTGAAGGGTAAGATAGTAGGTAGGAGAGAGTATCGTCTTAAGTTTGAAGAGAAGTCCCTTATTACAGACAACATCGAATGCTTGAGCGACATCCAAAAATACTCCAATTGCATACAATTTTTACTCTAGTGCCGTTGTTGTTGGAACCTACATTGATAGTCGGGTATTATTTTTCCGTCCGTCAGTATGTAGAAAGATATATATATATATATATATATATATATATATATATGTTTTATAATCACTTATTGACACTGACCTGAATAAAAATAAAAGGTACCCAATCCAATATAAACAGAAAAAATCATGACTAAGATAATTAAAGAGTATAAAGCGACTAAGTGAATGAAAGCGATATATTATTCCGAATAAACGGTATTGTTAACAGTAACTAACGAGCTATAAAACCTTTAATTGGTCTAGGGTACAAAAATTATTAAGTATTACCGTGGGGAACAAAATACATTGTCATTTTTATGAATAACCGTGATTTTTTGAAGGGACCAGTAGTCAACGGGATACGAATTATTGAAATTGTACTGTAGTAAGTTTCCCTAAAGCAAGGAATGCTGCTATAGTTTGGTCAAGTTTCCAACAGGTTGCAACAATTTAGTCTCCGGACATAAAAATCCGTTTGGAGAAGTAGGTTTTCTAAGTGAGTGGAAGTTTATTAAGTGAGTTTATCGAAGTAACTGCTCATGCAACTTATACGTGTAAACTGGCCTTTAGGGGTTGAACTTAATGTTGCCTATATATAGATTGATTTAACAACAATTTTAACACGCATTTAGGAAGTAACATTTGCATACTTCAGTATTTTTGTACACAACAATAACTATTTATATAATAACAAAAAAAATCAAGAAGCAAGTAAAATACTATTGAAAATTTAATGAAATAATATTATTTTTATTTTCTGTAAAAAAAAATCATTAGTTTTTAATTTCTTTTTTGATGGTAGTTCTTAGTTGTTATTTGAATTTAGTTATTATTTCTTACCTATTATTTGAAATTTATGAATTTTAACTACTTTATGAACTATTAATAAATAATTTGTATGATAAAACTTTTCTATTATCATAGATTTATTACATATTTCTTGAAGGCTACATTATGAAGCTGTTAATATTGCATCGAATGAAAATTACTTGATGATGACAATGAGGATTTAATAATGACTTATAGTTTATTGATAAATAGTCAGCCTGCCACATTGGAGCAATCAGTATAGTAAATGGGATAAAAAAAACATTACGTTGAATAAATACTAGAAAGGTGTTTTTTTAAATGATAATATATAAAAAATAAATGAATAAAAATTAAATATTAGCCCGACTCCATATATTACACTGTTGTTAATATATGGGATCATATGTATTAACAGCATTTTCTCTCAGCAAGGGTGTCGCCAAAGCCACACCTCTCAGAATGGAATTTTAATGTCATCAAGTTTATAAATAAAAGCACATTAAGTTCATAATATTCATGCAGATAGACTGGGAACATTAAACATATTCATGAATCATAATATGCATATTATTTATGTTCCGAAAACAACAGAAACATTAACATAACATTATTGAATATGATTCTCAGATTTTCACCTTTAATGAGTTAAATTCGACTTTTAAGTCGACTTTTCAAGCTCCGCAGCGTCGAAAAGGTCTTGTAATGAGAAGTTTGACTGACACTTATAAAATAATTCGTTTATTATACCTTAAAATAGGTATATCTTGAAAGTTACTTTATAAATAAAAATATGTATAATCTTAAAATGTATTTATATAAAAGCAACTGTACATTGGTTTTCTTTTTACATAGGTTATTATAATATATACAAATCCAATTCTATTTACAATTTATTCTTAAGCTATTACCCTTAATACTATATTTACAAATACTAATTATCACAATGATTTTTTCTCTCAAGAGCTATTTCCTATAACAAAAAATCTCAGTTTGTTCAATCACTGGACTAAACATCAATGAACAGAGCAGAAGCCAGTCCGAATATCAGGACCACTACTGTGACGATTAATGCAATGGCGTCGATCCAGAACTTGCGGACGTAGGCCCAGAACGAAGGTTGTTCGTAGTACGTGAGAATGTTTACGATACAGGGGACCGTTGTAGAAAGGGTACACTGCCCGAGTACTCCAGTCACCGATAGAAGAAGCTCCAGGTTTGGTACCAACAAAGCCACTAGCACTGGAAAAATAAAGGAAATAAATATTCACAATGACAATGTTAATGATGGAAGATGTATTATATTTATATAAGTAGTCAAAACAAAGAATTTCACTTTTATTTTCTGAAATTCTACGTTTCAGGGAAAGGAATGGTGGGGGAATTATATTGAACTTTGGTGTTCAATATAAGCTCATTATGATGGACGTACCATATTCTTAAGATTTGCATTCCTAAAAAAATATTTAAGCGACCTATACTCACTTCGAAAGTTATTAATCACTAATTAGAAGGGATAACTTTATTAGAAGGGCTGATGATTTATTAAGAATTTATTTTATTTCCGAGCCTCGAAATACTGCTAATATATATAAGCGTAATAGACATAAATAGGGAATTTGTATAAAAATGATATATAATTGACTATGTTTTATATTTGCGATTTTTATTTCAGATTTCGTTCCAAAAAAAATGTTCCATGGTACGTCACAAACATTTCTTTACATAAAGATATGGAGACAGTTAACGACCACATATGAACTCACTACAAAAGATTTCTTGATAGCTTAAACAGACATACTTATATACTTATATAGGGTATGGCGACAGTTAACATGCTCAATTTTTATTTTATTTTAATTATAAAAACACAAAATACTTTGTGGTGGATGATTAGCCCATGATATAGGGAACCTATCCATTTGGTAATTTACTTTGTGTATTTAAAATACAAATACTTCTTTTGTATTTTCTATTTTAAAAAAAGTACTTTTACAAACAATCTATTTTATTTTTTCCTTATTAAAATGAAAAAATACAAAAATGTATTTTATTTTGTATTTTAAGTTATTTCATTTGAAATGCCGCCCAAATTTGATAGAAATAACATATTATTGTTTTTAGAAAAATATTTTGAAGTGTTTATTATTTTTTATAATTATTCATTCAATATCCATCTAAAAAATTAAGGATATATTAAAAATTATAAATAAAACATATCTTTATAATACAGCGGCAAAGCAACCCTTACCAACAACATATTTTTTACTTTTTAAATAAATATTTTGAAAAACGTGCTGCAATATTCTATGTAAACTCTGAAGGCAAAGAGAAATTTTACGAATCAAGATAAGTTGTCCTGTTTACTTTGTTTTTCCTTGTCATGTGGAACTTCATCTCAACAGTGCCGCAACGTGTTCTGCTAATCGTCATGATATTAGACATATATTTTTTAAACTTTTTACAACCTCAGCTTATTTTTATCTCAGAAACAAATTCAGTGTTTAAATCTTATATGATGTATTAATAACCCATTCTTGGTGGTGATGTTCCTATTATACGTGAAATACGTACATGTAGAAGAAGAGATATCTGTGTTTAAGACTTTTTGTGGTCTTTAGTACCAGTAATACGACTGAGTGAAGGGCGCTGGGATCTCTTAGAGTCCTGGCTTTCCTTCCATGAGTGGGGAGAAAGGCTTGGCTCGGAGATCTTCAGTGAATGAATTTTTTTTAAGATATTGTACAGAAGAATGTGGGTATTGGGGTAGTTATTTTCACTAGCTTAGTTTCTTTTTGTTTAGTTTCTTTTTTTTAGTTTATATACATTTATTTTTAGTATTATTATGTTTCTGTATTATTTATTTTTATTTATTGTGAATGGAGTGTGAATGTGCTCTTTGAGCACTATTATAAATGTCCTTAATTGTTCCAGATTGTGATATCTCTCAATATATATGTTTAAAAAAATTGTGAAAAATATCTGATTTAATTTAACGAGAACTAATAAAAGGAATTTCAAGACTGTTTACGGTATCATTGGACATAATTATTCATATGTTTTATGTAATTATTGTGCAATGGTCTTTCTTAAATACTCATCCCAAGGCTAACCGTTCACTAAATAAACATTAAAATAAATAAATAAATAATTATATAATTAAACAATTATATTACTATCTGAATATACTTATTCACATTGTGGTCAACATAAACAAAATGATAATTCGAATTAACTACAGAATACTCACACGTGAAAGTTATCGATAATATCCTTATAAGATATTGGGCCAAGAGCCTGTTCTTGGTGAGCCTCTTGTCGAGGTAGTCGTCCCAGATGATGGATACTCCAATGTAGTTATGAATGGCTGTCGCTGTAAGCACGGATAGGGCTAGAAGCAACTGCACGGCCTGGCCCAACCTTCAAATAATATATGAAAGATCTATATTAATTTAAAATTAAAAAAACAACAAAAAAACTGTTATATTAAGTTTAATTTTACAAATTTTATATAAATATAAACTTATAAAGTTTAGAAATAATCTGAATTGTGTAAAACTCTCTAAGTGAGTACATATAAGTAACGATTTGTTCAGTTTATAATTTTGACCTTTATTTATTAGTTTTTTTTTCACTTGTAGCCCAATAGTGGAGGGCGGTGAGCTTCTATTACACAAGATCTCAGGTTCGAATCTCGGCTAATGGCAGCAAAATTATTTATTCTGTTTCATCAGCCGTGGGGTAACCGTGATTCGGGAGACCACCCTGGGACACACCCAGCCTATTTAAATGTGGGTTAAATAATTAATTAACTGGTAAAACCTTGCGATTGAACGTGATCTCGGTCATATTACCACCTTGCACAGCCGTTGACTAAGAAATAGTGCTTTCCTTAAATAAAATTGAACTCAAGAACCTTCATGTGTTTTAGTGGTACAGTTCTTTTCTTTTCTTTTTTATTAAATTATAGTTTTTTCTTTATTTGGGCATTTCAGAGATACTCTAATTACCTCTTCATCATCATCATCTATATTTCATAAACATTAAATGATAAGTTTTCTGATGAAACAAAATTAAGTTAATCCAAATAATTAAAAAAAGCGCGTATTGAAAAATATTTAAATTATATGTTTAAAAATGCATTTTTTAAATGACTGATTTAACATAGAATCTGTAATGGTTCTGTAATTCTATATAGACCCACCAACAAAAACTTCCAATCAAAATAATTACAACTCATAACAAAAGCACCATGGTAAAAATCTACATACTGACCTACACCTTCCAACAGTTGACCAACGTATAACTAGCGTCTACCAACGACTTCTTACTGATTTCAACGGACATCACAACCGATTAATAAGAAACATGGCCTTAGCTGACATATCTCAGAACATGAGGAGGAGGCTGAAAAGGCGTTGGATGAGAGATCTCCTTCCTTAATCAACCTAAGTAATTGAAACAAGCCAGGGAAGAGGTGCTGCTGAGTGCTTTCCTTCCCCATGGCCGACATGTCATATACATCTTTGTATTTCTAGCACATTTGCTAATTGTAAACAAAAAGTTGACTGGGGCAAATAAATTTTTTATACACAAAACAATGAGGTTAAAAAATCATAATGAAGTTTTATGGAGATAAATAATTTGTTTGATAAAAGTTTGACCTACTACATAATATCAATATCTGGTTATTAGGATAATTTCTATATAAACTTAAAAAGGTTCTATTTATCAAATTACCATGTTCGATTGAATATTGAATCAGTTGTGTCGGATAGGTGTATTTTTTTATTGAGTTCGAAGGAGTTAGACTGGTCGATAATACTGTATTAAGGAGGAAGTTCCGAACCGCAATGAAGAGGAGGAAGAAATGAATCAGTGTCAATAATTCTGTCTCTAGGTAAGTAAGAAATTATTAATAGAATGAATAATGAGGTAATATGCTCTTATGAGCAGTATTTTGCTCTTATGAGCAACCTTAATAATTTTTTTCATAGAGGTATTTTACCTAAGAGGTAAAATAAATATCAGATTTTGTGTCATCCAAGTACACAACTTAAGTTTTCATATGACTCAATAACATACGACTGACCATAAGAAAAACCTAGTGTTTTTTTAATAATAGTTGTTGGATTATTATTTAGTTGTTATTTCATGTTTTCTGTATATATGGTGTGAATGTGTTTATATCTTACTATAATTATTGTGTTGTGATGATTATATTTCTAAATAAATAAAATTAAAATATATATATATATATATATATATATATATATATATATATATATATATATATATATATATATTCTATCGTCGGCACCATATAAAAGTAATGAATTTGCTACGTTGGGCTAGCTAACATTCGTTAGATTAACATGGTACCGATGATGTGGGCAGAAAGATACATTCGAAATCATTGTAAAGTCCGCTCTGAGGCGAGAAAGAAAAGTGTTTGAATGTTGACAATCTGGAAAGTCTGGAGCGACTTGAAGTGGGAATCCCGTTTTTCGAAATCTAGTAGAAAAGTTACATTCTTATATTCAAGAGATGATAATTCGATTTATGATTTATGACAACTATTATAAGCTCGAACTTCTAATTAATTGTTCATTATTTATATTTCAACTTATATTTCTGTTTTCATAAGTATAGGCACTTATTATTTCTATTCCCACATTGTTTCAATTATTTTGAAATGAAATAGGTAGTAGTCAATATTGGCTTATTTCTAAATGACATTTTGTAAGAATGTGCACCTATTATCGACTGTCTTTTGCTTATCCATCTTACAAGTCACGCACACATTTTTCAAGTTTCTCTATTGTAGTTGGAATGAGATTATCGACCTGATTCCAAGTCTCTCTAAGTTAGGATTTACAAGCCATTATCTGGTGTTTTTATTCAAGTATCGTCAGTCACTTTTAGTAAAATAACAGTATCATTTAGAAATCATATGTTATAAAAGATAAATATTTATTGAAAGTTAATATTAAACAACAGACAAATACAAAAAAGATTAACTTTGATAATAACATATATTCTAAATATTTAACTTAGGTTAGATTTCCACATAGCTTTAACATTTTTTGAAATGTAAGATTTCACATGTCCTCGAAAATCTTTCTTCATCATCATTTTTAGTGTTGCCCAAATGCGAGAGGGAGACGAGAGTGAAATCCTAACATTATTCACATACAATCAGTGTGACAACTTTTGAACTAACCATGGCACGCATTGAATATCTTGTAATTTCATTTAATAAACTAATAAACAGCAAGAATACTATTCTCGATAACAATTTATCAAGCAAGATTCCGAAGCCTCAAGATTTTTCTGACCCCGAGCCGTCATCTGTTTTTGTTTCAAAAATTGAGAACTTCGTGTCGTTTGGTCAAGAAATTGCAAAACTAATCGGACAGCCTAATTTTCGCTGCTTCTCTCGAATCAATGACATTAAAATAAACACGAACTCTAGAGAAAACTATAAAAAATTGATTAGCCATTTAACTTCCAAAACTACGACTTCCATTGTTACCATTTGAAACAGGACAAGGCGTATCGAGTAGTCCTGAGAGCTCTACATCCAACCACTCCCATATCTGTCATCAAAACAGGCCTGGAAGAAATCGGTCATAACGTCAGGCACATAGCTTCCGTACTACATCCTAGGGAAAGATATCCGCTTCCATTATTCTTTATAGATTTGGAACGAGCAAAAACGAATAATGAAATATTTCAGGTTCAACGTTTAGTATACTCGACAGTACGATTTGAGGAACCAATGCAGAAGCCCCTAATATTACAATGCACTAAGTGTCAAAACTTAGGGCATACGAAGGCATATTGCCATCACGAGGCCAGATGTGTTAAATGCACCGGTTTTCACGCTTCAGGCTCTCGTCAGAAGCCAAGAGATGAGCCCGCGACATGTGCTCTTTGTGGTGAAGCCCACCCTGCAAGCTATAGAGGTTGTGAAGTATATAAAAATCTTCACAAACAGAGATCACGTAACTTAGCGACGAAAACCCTTGGACCTGCTAAAAAAAACTGGTCCTGAGGCACCTGAAATTGAAAATCAAGAAACTTTCCCAGCTTTGCCGACTTCACCTTCCATCGCCGTTCAACACCAACCATCCATCTCTACACTTAAGGATTATCCTCAACAGAATTCAAGAAATTCTCAATGGCAGCCTTCCATCATTAAGAAGCAGCCTCAAAGTCAGGCGCCTCAAACCTCCCACTCCAAGCCCAAAAGCTCTAATACTCAACCTCAACAGCCTCGTCAGCAAATCCCTCCCCATCAGCTACCCTTAAGGGTCAAACTCCCGCCAGAGCACCCACACCCAGCTCCACTCGTTCCTACTCCCAAAATAAACCTCCCATCACAAATTCCCAACAGAATTTAGATCCCACTCCTCGTACCCCACCTCATAGATCTTCAACAGACTATCAAACCGCTTATAACTCTTCTCACAAGACTCCTTTCCGAAATCTCGTTTAACTTCCGATGAATACAAAATCCCTAGCTATCCTCTTATGGAACGCTAACGGACAACAAAACCACCGTGACGAACTAGACATATTTCTCCATGACAATTATATTGACAGTTATTCAATCCTCTCACCCATGAATCCTACATATTGGCCTACATCTCTGAAAAAACGTCCCGATATCCTGGATATATTTATCACCTCCCAGATTTCCTCCTCCCAATCCAATATCAAATCCCTGGATGACCTTTCGTCAGATCATAGTCCAGTTTTGCTTTTACTACATTCGAACTTTGCTCCTAAACCTTCATCTCCTAAACTGATTACAGGACGAGTGGACTGGGACAAATTTCGTGATGATCTGGAAGATAAACTGGACTTAAAAATTCCCCTTAAGACAGAACAACATATTGATAATTCCATAGAAAACCTTACTACAACTATAACAACGAGTATAAATAATAAACATTTGTTAATAATAAAAGCAATAATTTAAGACATATTAACTTGCCACAGCATATTCGAATCTTATTAAGGGATAAACGCAGAGCAAGATCGAAGTGGCACAGGACTAGATATCCTTCAGACAAAACGTGCTATACCGAATTGACTAACAAACTGAAATCAGAAATCAGAAAATATTAAACTCAACAATTACTGAACCTAACTGAAAATATTACAACAACTGACAAATCACTATGGACTACAACCAAAAAACTTCTGAAGTTTAAAGACTTTAATCACCCACTTCTTACTGAATCCCAAACCTGGTCCAAATCCGACGAAGAAAAAGCCCAGTTATTCGGTCAACATCTGTTCCAAATTTTCAACCCACATTCTGATATCCTTAATCCAACCCACATTGAATGTATTAAATCAGAACTGGATACTCCTCTCCAAATGTCCCTTCCACCTAAAGCATTTCATCC